CTATGCTTCCTCCGGACTCCTGTGAGGGCTCCTTTTGGGTCACTGGGTGGGTCCCTGGGCAGACTATATTGCTCTGGCCCATGGTTGAGAGGGGACAGAACTAGGTAACAAGCTATTTCAGAGTCCATAGCCAGAACTGAGTTCAGAGATGTGGCTTTGCCTCCCTTTGGCCCTGTGCCACGTGCACCATAGATCTCTGATTACTGCTGGAAAAGACTGGAGTCAAGCCTTAGAACTTTCTTAGGGCCTGCTGAAGGATTAAGATTGGCAGTTGTGCCCTGCAGACTCATGTAGGTGTGTCTCTGGCACTTTATCCCATAGGCAGAACTGGTGTCTGTCCACTCCTGAGTGCAGCTAGAGTCAAGTTTCAGAGCTGTTTCTGAGTATGCTTCCAGAATCAACATCAGCAAATCTGTCATCCAAGGTATGAGACAGGGTGACTCCTTCCAGGTCTCTGGGTGGATGGTTCACGAGCAGAACCAAGGCCCAACAGGCTTGTAGCTGTCTATAGGGTCAGGCCATTTTCAGATCTGGAAGCTGAGCCATGGTTGGCAAATCTGCCGTGTGGGCGTGGTATTGTCCTCCCAGGCCATAGGTTGCACCAGGGTTTCACAACTTCCTACCTGGATCACAAAGCTCCCAAAAGGCATTCTGTCCATGGATAACTGCAAAATTATTGGTTTTGGTGGAGAATATGAGAGAGATGCCTCTTATTTTTCTAGCTTGTTGAAATCACTCTACTTCATTTGAAAGTTTTTCATTAAAAGTTAAATAGGGGCCAGGGAGATGGCTCAGTGGAATAAGCGCTTCCCTGACAAGTGCAAGGGCCTGAGTTCAATCCCTGGTTCCACAAAAAAAAAAAAAAAAAAAAAAGTTAAATAAAGCCAGGTGTTGTGGTGCACATCTGTAATTCCAGCACTTAGGAGGCTGAGACAGGAGGATTGCCATGAGTTCAAGGCCATCCTGGGCCACATAGTGAATTCAAGGTCAGCTTGCACTACATAGGGGGACCCTGCTTCAAAAAACAACAATACAAAACAAAACTTGCAAGTCTGTGTTTTGGCTCATTTTTCTTCACATAATCCAGGGAATCATAAATCATGCAAAGCCAGTTGTCTTGCCACCACCAAAATGGGTTCTGAATCCAAACACAAAAATGACATCTGGTGTGGTCTTGTACATTTTGGCGAGTTTTTCCCGAATTTCTGTCTTAGGTACTGTTGCTTTCCCAGGGTGAAGGACATCAATGACCATTTGTTTCCTTTGAAGAAGCCAGTTGGTCATGAATTTCCGGGTTTGGATAGTTACTGTGTCATTCATGGGGTACGTAGACATTTCTCAAGCTTATATTGGCTAGAGCTAAGTTTTCCAAACTTTGAGAAAGCTGTCACCAGCGAATGACTTGCTAAAGCGTTCTTTCCACATCACCCAGCCAGAAATCACTTCAGTGATACTTAATTCATGATAGCAACGGAGCCTCATACAGCCTGGGAGGAAAAGAGCTAGGGACCTTTAGAAAGCCTATCTAACTAGATTCTTGTTCATGCCAACTGCCTCATCATGTTGATAATAGCAAGGTCTTTAAGATCTGCTGCAATGTCACATCTATCCCAGGCTTCTTTCTTTCTTTTTTCTTTCTTTCTTATCTTATCTTATCTTATATTTATTTATTTGTTTATTTGGTAAGGGGTCTCACTAGTTCTGGGGCTGGCACCGATGTGGAACCAGGGATTGAACCCGGGTCCTTGCACTTGCCAGGCAGGCACTTAGACCACTGAGCTATCTTCCCAGTCCTCCTAAACCTTTAGTTGTGACAAAAATGTGGTAAATCTTAGCTCTGATGGTGTAGCTCTGGAAGAGGTGAATGGTCCAGAGCATGGAGAGTGACAGCAGCTGTCACTGAACCTTGACTGATACACAAAGGGAAGGTCTTGTTTTGTTTTTCGAACCTGATTTGTCTTTTAGACCTTATGCTTTTTACATTTAGTTATTAAGTTATTATTTGGAGGCATTTTTCTAAGCTATTTTGTGTTGGTTTTCAGATATTTGTAATCAAATGAACTATACTTAATACCTTATGGCAATGTTAGTATGTTTCATTTCTGCATGTCTATAAAATTCCTTATAGATGCAGATTTCTTACAGTCTAAATGATCTTTTCATGGATGAAAGACAGTGACTGTGGCTCCCTCTGGTACAAAAGGCACCTGTTCCTTACTGTCTGTTATAAAACATTTGGTTCCCTATATTCTTTCTTCACTGTTTATAATGCAACTCACTGTCTATGGTCCCTTACACATCACTCTGTAGGGAGTGGGACCCCAGAAACTGTACAAAATGATATTTTTTACTTGCTGTGAGTAATAATTTTTTTTTGTGTCTGAGCTGAGAGCCTGACCCATGAAAGTGTTGCAGGCTAACTTGCCAGCTTGCCTAGAAGGTGAAATCTCAGACCCTATATAGTTTTTGTTTTTGTTTTTTTTGTGGAACTGGGAATTGAACTCAGGCCCTTGCGCTTGCCAGGGAAGCACTTATTCTACTGAGTCGTCTCCCACCCCCCACCATATAGTTCTTGAAAATAAGATCTTTTTGAATGATAATATTCGAGCTGGTATAAGTACTATTCAGTAGGTTTTTTCAAATAGAATAATGTTCATGTCTATAATATGAAATAGCATTTTAATTATCAAGTGGGGGCTTGGGAGATAGTTTGGTGGTCTAAGCACCTGCATGGCAAGAGCAAGAACCCGGGTTTGATCCCTGGTACCGCATGCTGTGCAAGCCCTGGAACTCCAGGAGTGCTGTGTCTGGTCACCAAAACCAGGTGTGGAGGTACATACCTGTAATCCCAGTGCTGTGAGGAGGCTGAGGCAGGAGGATAGCTATGAGTCTGAGCTGTGTAGCGAGATCCTGTACTAAAGAAATTTTAAAAAAATAATAAACAAATGACTGTGTTAGGGTTTTTTCTTTGTTTTGTTTTCTTTTTTTGTGGAACCCGGGATTGAACTCAGGTCCTTGTGCTTGCCAAGGAAACACTTACTCTATTGAGCCATCTCCCCACCCCTGTGTTAGGTTTTTAGTCTTTTTTCCTTTTCCTTTTTAATTTTTCTTTCTTTATTTTTTTGGCAGAACCGAGAATTGAACTCAGGTCTTTGCACTTGCCAGGCAAGCACTTATTCTACTGAGCCATCTCCCCAGACCCCCTGTGTTAGGTTTTTAAGATCAACTTATATCATTACAGTATAACAAATACTTTCATGCACAAACACTTTATTATTTCTCATTTCTATCATAGACAAAAGTTTGGTTAAATGCTTTGAATGTAGTAAAAGAAACAAAATTTTAGTTTATATTAACAGGAAAATTTATTCTAAAATTACAAAAGTATATTAAAGCCATGAATGACAGCTAAATTTGGGCCTCAAGTTTAGTAGCCAATAACAGAAATCACATTTTGTGAGCTTAAGAAAAAGAAAAAGGAGCTTATAATTAGGATACAAGGATACCCTACCAAGTCAAGGGCAGGGAAGATGTATTCTCCTCATCTCTCATCTCTGCTTTTAAATTTACAAACACTTCATTGTTCTCTCTTTGCAGATCTGCTGCTTGTACTTCCCAAGCTGTCCACTAGGACACAATAACTCAGCTTCCCAGATTATATTCCTTCTGTTTCAGAGACTAGCCAGACAAAAGCTAGAATCTCCCACTTGCAACCCCAAATTCCTGGGGATGTCCTAGGACTCTGCCATGATTAGCTATATAACTATCTCCCTACTTGATACACAGGAAGGCATGAGTTTCAGGACACTAAGAGCCAGTATTGTAGTTTGGAGTTTTGTAAGGGGAACAATACAATGCAGTACATATATAAGATTATTTTATAATGATTTATAAAATTATTTTATAATTAATCATCCAAAGAATCATATACCAAGAGTGCAGGAAATCTGTCTACACATTAGTGACTAAAGAATCCAGCTGAAGGCCTGGATCCCACAATAATGTCCTGCATGAGTCTAGCTGAAGACCTAGAGCACATAGCAATGCCTCCCACAAGGCCAACTGGAGCCCTAGAGCCCATGACAATGTCTCATGCAGGCCCGTTTCATGGATCTGTGCTGGGAAGGCCCAAAGGTCAGTGGGGGAAGCTAGAAAGTCTAGGTAGTGTTATATCAAATATTAATTGATCATTTTTTCCTAAGTGCAAAATAAAAAGGCTGACTACATGAACAGTATTTTTTTTTTTTTTTTTTTTTTTTTTTTTTTCAGAACCGGGGGTTTGAACTCAGGCCCTTGGGCTTGCCAGGCAAGTGCTTATTCTACTGAGCCATCTCCCCAACCCTTACATGAACAGTATTTAGGAAAGAAGAGATTACATGATGGGTTTAGAAATCTCTCATAACCATACATTTTTGATCAAGAACCTCCCATACTAGAAGGGAACACTCACTAAGCTTGAGCAGGTGATTAGGAGCCATTTTTATCACAGAAGGGTAAGGATTAGGGGACATTCTGAGAAACAGAAAGGAGAGGCAAAAGGAAATTATTTTCTGGGTTCTCCAGTCTCTTGTAAGAGCAAATTTATCTTGCTTACCAAAATCATGACATGGTTAAAATTCAAAAGATAGTTGGTTTGTATTTTATAAATTCAGAAAAGCTGGTAGAAATATTTCACCTATACCTAGTCACACTGAAATAGAACATGTACATCCAAAGTAGAAAAAAAAATGCTGTGGGAGCTTTATAAAAAATATATCATGAGGAGTTCTTAAAGTATTTCTCCGCATGTTGAAAATACAATCTTATTTTGTCTTTTGATGAGGTACAAGGAGTAAAGGTTAATATTCATGGTATTACTATTCTTTCTTTCTTTTCCTTTGTGGTGCTGGGAATGGAACCCAGGGCCTCAGCATGCAAGCACTCGGCCACTGAGCTGCATTCCCTATAGTTCTTTCCATAGTTTTATTTCTAGAAATAAGAGCCAGCAAGGAAAACAGGACTACGACACAATAAAGCAGAAAAAGAGCAACATGAGCATGAACCTGCTAGGAGACTCACAAGCTGGTAGTTTAGTTTTAACTTTACCTGATTTCAGAGTATACAAGGTTTCGAAAGAAAAAAAAGTCATTCACTATTATGTTGAAGGCTTTGTATTTCAATTTTGGTGTTTCTTCCTGAAAACGTTTCCCTAATCTGTCATCATTTTGATTATCATACATTGTCATATTCATTACATTTTAAGGACATTCTTCTGATGAGATGGTTGACAGGTATGAAAGTACTTTTTGTACTAGGGGTTCCCTAAAGAAAGGGTTTGGAGAGTTGTTTTCTGCTAGAGAATCATCAGAAAACCATTCGTCGGCTGCTTGTATACTTTGGCTGCAATAAGAATCTGATGGCGATGTTGGTAAATTTAAGGTAACACTGCTGCTGCTTGCTGCGGAGTTAATCTCTTGGGGGTCACAGATGACCTTTTCTGTTGCACGGCAGAATTCATCTTTAGGATGATCTTTAATTGCTGTGAAAAATAAGATTTACCATAAATATTACAAAGTGATTCGTGGCCAGCTTGAACTGCATAGTGAGACCCTATCTCAAAAAAAAAAAAAAAAAAAATCTTAGTTGTACAATGTTCCTTAAGATAATTTCTTAGTACTTATGGGTAAATATCACCTTATTTAATAAAATCAATTTTAAAAGTACAAGTTTCCTTCAGCAGGTAGATTACAAAATGGTCCACAGTGGGGAAGGACTAATGAATTGACTCTATATTAATAGCCATAACGTTCTTTGAGAACCTTTCAACTTAGATACTTACATCAAAGCTTTTTGACACTTCTATATTTAATTTCTTTCTTTCTTTTAGACAGGGTCTCACTATGTAGTTCAGGCTGGCCTTGAACTCACTATGTAGCCCAAGGCTCACCTCAAACTCAATGTGATCCTCCCATCTCAGGCTCCTGAGTGCTGAGGTCACAGGTGTGCACCCCCACACCCAGCTCCTCTTGAGAATTGTTCAAAATAGTTATTAGTACTACTTTACCAAAGACAAACAGATTTAGAGAAATGAACTATCAGATGCAAATTGGATTTCAACTTATAGTTTTTACTTTAAGTCTTATGTGTTTCCACTATATCATTTAGACTACATGCTGGATATTAAAAATGGTAAGTTTTAGAATATCACATACTCTGGTTTCTCTTCAGATCATATAAATCTTTTGCCTTTTAGAAAATATCACATAATATGCTAAATGTATTTTATATTTTATTTGTTAGTTTTTATATTTTGCCCATTTTAAATTTGTCATAAATATTTTACATTTGGCAATACTTTTCCTATAATTTTTTAAGCTTTCTTGAGACAAGGTCTCACTACATAGCTCCAGCTGGCCTGGAGTGCACGGCAATCCTCTTGCCTCAGCCTCCCAACTGGTGGCATTATGGGTGTGCTCTGCATCATTCTAAAATGATGTAGGAAATGATGTTTCGAGGCATTAAGATGAAGCATGGGTTATATAAAATGTAGCAAATAGCTCACTCTTTGTTTCTGCTTCATTCTTGTGCCCCTGCCTCCAAAAGGCCCAAAACTTCTTTTGTACTCTCAGGAATCAAGCATAACACTTTTGGGTTCAAATAGGAAAGAAAATTTAAAGTCTCAAATTTCAGGATATGAAATTGAAAATCTTGTTTTTTCTGAAGGTTATGTGTCCACTCACATAATAAATTAACATTTTCCTTAAATTATCGTGACATTTAAAATACTTAAAACATTTAAAATAGCCTCTTGATACCTTAAAATATGAATTGCTATATGATGATTAGGATTTGTTCTTACAGATTATTGAGAAAAAGTACCTTTTATACATGCTTCTTCCTTTTTTCTTTGCTCTTCCTACATAAAAAAAAGTTATTTGTATTTTTAAAATGAAAGCTTTTATGTAATTTCTGTAATATATTTGATTTATTTATTCATATAATATTAATAAATGTTGACATTACATAATTTCACTGGAAAATTTTTTCCACAATATGAATTTTTTTTTTTCTTTTTGTGGAACCGGGGATTGAACTCAGGCCCTTGTGCTTGCCAGGGAAGCGCATATTCCCCTGAGCCATCTCCTCAGCCCCTTCCACAATATGAATTTTTAAAAAAATCTTTTATTTATTTATTTCAGTACAGGGTCTTGCCACACAGTTCAGATTCATAGAGAACCTCCTGTCTCAGCCTCCTCAGTGCTGGGATTATAGGCATGCGCCACCATGCCCAGTTTCTTCTGGTACACATCTGGAATGTCCAAGCAACATTTTACTTGCATTAGAAGAATATTCCAACTTTGTTAAAGTTCTTAGGCTGGCATATCATGCAGTACTGGAGATCAAACCCAGGTCCTTGTGCTTGCCAGGCAGGCTCTTAGACCGCTGAGCTATCTCCCCAGCCCCACAATACGAAATTTAAAGATATTTATTTGAGACAAGGTCTTTCTCTGCAGTCCAGGATGGCCTTGAACTCAGTATGTAGGCTAGGCTGTCCTCTAACACAGCAATCCTTCTGCCTCAGCCACTGGAGTGCTGGGATTACAGTTGTGCAGCCCTATGCCAGGCCACAGAGTCAATTTTTTTTCACCAAACTGTATTGACAGAATAGAAAACGTGTTGATTAACCATTGGAAAGGAATTAAGATTGGTTTGAAAAATTAGATTATCTCCAAAAAGGAATGAAAGTATGAAATATGGTTCAAAAAGAATTGTCATTAATGAGTTACTTGGCTAACTTATATAACTAACCACAACGGTTCTGGCTGAAGGCCTTTAATAAAGTCAGAATATTCTTCTAACGCAAGTAAAACATTGCTTGGACATTCCAGATGTGTACCAGGAAGTATAGTGGTATAATAGCTGTCAAACTTCAGAATATCTGAATCATCTGGTGTGCTTATTTAAGGGCCAATTCTTTAGGCATATTACCAGTTCCTATAGAAACAGTTCAGAATGGGATCTGGGGGCTGGGGATTATAGTTCAGCAGCATAAGCACCTGCCTGGCAAGTGTAAGGTCCAAGTTTGATCCCTGGTACTGAAAAAAAGAAAAGAGAGGGTGGTGTTTGGGAGTATGTTTGGTAACAATCTGCTAGGATTTTATTCAGGATTTCTTCAGACCATGAGATAACAATTGGCTAGTGCATATGTGTGTCTGGGATAGAGAGAAGTCTGACACTAGAGAGAATAACATTATCTCTTGTGTTGGGGGGAAGGTGTTAATATTCTGTTTAATGTACATTGTTCTATTTCCCAGAGAGCATTATTTAGGCTACATACATGCATTCTAATACATTGCTTTTCTCAAGACCATTTTTCTCCAAACCACTTTTGCTTCTTTGTCCTTTTTCACTTTTTACTAATGAATGCCAGTGTGGCCTCTTGAACTTACCATGCCTGAATTTAGGATTGTTACAGAAAATGGCCCCTCAGCCCATATGCTTCAGTTTCTTAGTTGCCCCAGTGATAGCTCCTACTGCAGTTGCACTCATTCCAGTCTTTTAGAAACAGCTGAGCACCATGATGACTATTGTAAGAACCAACCAAGGACAGCCTATTACTCTGCTTTTTAAATTTCCCCTTGCAGACCTCATAAAACCTCCCTGCCATGGTCTCTCCCCAAGGTTGCCCTGCCTAGAGATCTAAAATCAGTCAAGTGCTTCTCAAACACATCAAAGGGGGGAACAAAAAACTCATCAATATGTCAAGAGCTACTACTATTACCTAGAAGCCTGATATAAGAACTATAGACACTAAAAATAAATGCCCCTCCATGTGTAAGACATAAAATTTTCTAACTATCCAGGCCCACACGAACCTGTCAGGCCTTGATGGGTAGGACAGGTTGAGCTCTATCAAATTGGGTCCCTGAGAGCTTGTGGTCATTGCCAAAGTAGGGGGCAAACCTGTGACTTTCCTGGTAGACAATACAACAGAACTTTCTGCTTTCAAAAGTTCCTTCTGTTGAAAAGTTAACACCACCGGGCAACTGGGATTCGTGCTTCTCCCCGCTTCTACTAGGCACATGCTTGCAGCCTGGGACGGCATCTCATCAAGCATGAATTCCTGTATAAGTCAGTCCCCATACTGCTTCTGGGAAGAGACCACCTCCTCAATTCCAACTGATGGTTTCCTTTGCACCGAGCCAGTCAACCTCCCTTTTGTTTAACTTAAGTGTTCCCTAAGAAGATGATGTCTGCATTAGCCTGAGACAGGTAATCACAGTCCTGAAGTTCTGAAAACTCTCTGCTCAAAGGTATGAACCTCTGGACCTGGCTATCAACCATGCTGTGTCACTGCGGCCCCCACTGCTGTGTCACTGCAATCCCCCCACACAAACAGGCCAAGGCACACAGCAGTTCAAGATCCTGATGGACTGTTCACCACTTTGCACTCTGTGGTTCCTGACCCATACGCCTTTTTGGACCATTACCTCCACATGCCACCTGGTTTACATGTCTAGATTTAAAAGATGCCTTCCTCTGCTTGCTGTAGCAGAAGAAGCTCCCTCACCCCCACCAGTATACTTCAGTCGGTTAGTTGCCCAGGTATTAGTTCCAGTTCCAGTTTCAGTTGCTCCCGTGTCTTAGAAACAGCTGGTCACTGTGATGCATAGCTGGTCACTATATGTACATTGTCTAAACTGGTCCTCAGTTCTGAAGCCATCCTGCTCTGTATTTCCTGCTTGCTTATCCTAGATAAGCCCTAGACGACCAGAGATCAGGACCTGATATTCTGGAAATGATCATGATCAGTGCCCATTGATGTAAAAACATCTGTTTCCAAATCCTGGGTGTTGTTTCAGTGTTTCTGCTTGCCATTGTGTCTGGTGTGTTGACCGGAAAGACTGACCATGCTGACCCCTTTGGTCACTGGTCATGGTCCTCATGGATGGAGGGCCTCTCCAGCTTCCAATGGGAAGGTGCACCCTTGAGATTTGTCAAGTTCCCTTAGAGATCTGGAGGAGGATTCTTAGCTCCATGCTGATCGGCTGACATTGAACCTAAAAGTGGGGAGGATACTGTCTGTCTGTCTGTCTGTCTGTCTGCCTGCCTGCCTCCCTGCCTGCCTGATTCTGGTAAGACCCCCAGTTAGTCTGTCCATCAATCCTGCTCAGCTTGAGCAGAAGGGAAATCTGATCAACTCTCATTAGGACTATCCTTAAGGGAAGGGGGGGTGGAATGTTTAACCCCTGAGTGCTTGCTGAATGAATGTGTAGGTGCAACAGACAGTATAAGCAATAGGCTGCTTTGTCTGTGCACCAAGACTAGGAAACACTGGTCATAGTGGCTGACTGGGCTGTCACCTGCAGTCTTGTGGTGAGCAACATATGATATAACAGAGGCCTTGCATACCTCCTTAGCTAAGTTGCTCTGAAGTCCCCTTGAGGGGTCCAGCCAGGCAGGTCTGAATGCTCTCTCTCTCTCTCTCTCTCTCTCTCTCTCTCTCTCTCTCTCTCTCTCTCTCAGGGGCACCTTCCATTTCTCTGTTATGCCATTATTTAAGGATACAGAACAGACACATAGGAAGTCAGAGATGGGAATTAATTAATTAGTTAAAACTCACAGTCCCTAACTATAGGAAAAAGAACTTTTCTGGTGATTAAACCAAACTGCTTTCAAAAAAGAAAGAAAGAAAGAAAGAAAGAAAGAAAGAAAGAAAGAAAGAAAGAAAGAAAGAAAGAAAGAAAAAAGAAAAGAGACCAAATATTCCTGAGAACTCCACCTTGGCACCCATGTTGGCCACCACAATTGCTGCCAAAAATTTTACTCCCCCTGCCACGAGCCTGATCCATCTATTTCCAGCCAGTTGAACTGGTTCCAGGTAACCATTGCCTGCACTCAGCCATAGAGGCCTCCCCTGGAACCTTCTGCTTCATGGCTATGCCTATTCTGGTCAGATGTTTTCCTTTTTCTTTTTCTTTCTTTTCTTTTTTTTTTTTCTTTTTCTTTTTCTTCAGAACTGGGGATTGAACTCAGGCCCTTATGCTTACCAGGCAAGTATTTACTCTACTGAACCATCTCCCTAGCCCCTAAGAAACTTTTTTTTTTTTTTTTTTTTGCGGAACTGGGGATTGAACTCAGGCCCTTGCTCTTGCCAGGGAAGTGCTTATTCTACTGAGCCATCTCCAGGTCCCTGGTCAGATGACATCATCTAATGCCCACCTGACATGACTGTCACCAATTTCTTCTGAGTTTCACATTTTGATTGAGGAAAAATTGGACTGTTAGCCCTGATGAATGAGAGATATAAGGGATATCTGGGAAGATAGCTCAGTGGCACAGTGCCTCCCTGGCAAGTGTAAGTGCAAGACCTGAGGTTGATTCCCAGTTTCAGAGAGACAGAGAGAGAGAGGGAGAGAGAGAGAGAGAGAGAGAGAGAGAGAGAGAGAGAGAGAGAGAGAGAGGTGTGTGTGTGTGGCCAGCTCAAAAAATCTAAAATCAATCAAACACTTCTCAAAGA